TTTAATGATTACAAATATCTCCAGTACAGTGAAGATATCACAGGATAACAGAATTGCAGGGGTTGGAAGTGATCTCAGGAGAATATTGAGTCCAGCCCCACTGCTAAAGTATATACCCTACAGTTGGTCACACAGGTAGGCATCTAGATGGGTCTTGAATATCTCCACAGAAGGAGACTCCTCAACTTCTCTGGGCAAGCTGTTCCAGTGTTCCATCACTCTTATTGTAAAGAAGTTCTTCCAAATAAATCTGCTTAGAATAACTGCTATTGACAGGTTCAGCTCTACTCATCTAAATATAACACCAGCCCTCATTTGATATTAAATGTGATTAATTACATTGTTGTCCAAGACATCAACCCACATTTTACAACTGGATGTTGAATATAAGAAAACAAAAATAAGTTTAATTTAGAAATGTATTAGATGTTAGAAAGGACTCTGTAGGTCATGTTGAGGGAATACTGTTCTGTACATTTCTCTGGCCCACAAAAATATGTATTTCTTAATGATCATAGAAAAAAAAAACAAAAAAAAAGAAAAGCTTCCGTGTTCCTTAGTATAGAGATTGCTCTTTTTCAATTTAGTCAGAAGTGTTTGTCAGTCAGGTCTGCTATCCGTAGAAATGATACTTCCATCTAATTTACATTTAATGTGCAAACGTGAGCTTTATTTGGCTTTTAGGCCTAGATTCAGATTCCCTATGTGTCCTTTTTAAGATTCACAACTCATAAAACAAAACATTCTGGCAACTGGGCAATCCAAGCTGCTTAAGTATTTACTTTCACATTATCTTCATTAGCAAAGCTATAACAACATGTTTCTACTGATCATCTCTACTTACTTATTCCAACTTCTGCACTATCGCCTATTATTCTTTCACTTTTGACAGAGCTGCTACAAACTAGGGGGCCATTGATGTCATCTGAGTTTACAAGTAACTTCCCTCTGAAAATGTTTTTTTTATTATTTTAGGTTTGGTGGGTTTTTTTTCTTCATTTGTTTGGATCTTTTTGAATACATCAGGAAGTGAGATTCACGAACAATTGCATTAACTAAAATTGACTGAAATGAGCTGAAGTGAAGGAGATGAAACTTGCCTGCATGTCTTGGAAGCGCTTACAATCATGCTGTTAGCAAAAAAAAAAAAAAAAAAAAAAAGAAAAAAAAGGTAAATGCTTACACTTAATGAAGAGCAATAGGTGCCTTTGAAAGGAAAGCAGGTGCTTGCTTCCATGCAACAACCTGATGTTGCTCATAGTAACACCAGATAAAAGGGTAATAACATCCTGCCTCCTCAGTGTGTGTTTTTGCCTGTGTATCTCATGTCAAATCCGGTGAATTTTGCAGGATTCTCAAAGTTTCAAAAAACCTAACAACAGCAAGTATAAGGAAGTATGGCTTTTCCAATCTCATTATGGCAAACATAATATTAAACATAAGTTGCCTCAAAAAAAAAAGTATGAAAAGGGATTTTACACTCATATAATGACCATGAAGAATTTAGAACAGGAGTATTCAATTAGCAACCAAACAGTATAACATCCCTCTCTCACCTCCTCTCTGCCTTTTCCTGGCTATTCTTAGCTGCCTATAGATAAGATCAGGCCACATGTCAGTTTTAAAATAAATCAATGCATTACTGAAAGACATGGGGTACAGACAGACCCTTTTGTGCCCTAAAAATAAAGGAATGCTCCAGTTTCTTACAGGCAGCTCCGCTTGCTACCCCAGAGATGTATATCTGGGTTCTATTCTGTGTCCTGCCAGAGATACAGTTTGTGATTAGCAGAATTAGCCTCCTTCCTGCCCTGTCTATAGTATGACAATAACAGTATGTAGCTTCCTGGCAAGGGAGAAGATATTCTTCTCTGCATTATACATCAGAATTTTTGTAGTACCTACAGTACTCCTCTATGAGCAGTACATCTCAAATTATGGATCTCAGTTTTAGTTTAAATAAAACAGCGGGTTAGCCTATGCTATGTGTGAAATGGAATTAAAAGTCTTAACACCTTGAGATATTTGCATTTTCTGATTCTGCATTTTTAAATTTTTAGTTGGATTTATTACAGGCCTGACATTCCAGGTAATTTGTTTTTTCTATTCTTCTTACATCATTCAGTGACAATATTTGTAGACAATTTTATCACAGTTTGCCACTGCAAAATAAAATATGATTTGAGAAACCAGAATATATTTCAAATACTTTTTGAAAAATCAGCATCTCCAATCTGAATCTTTTTGTTCCTCACAATTTCTCAAAACCAAACATCTGTCAAGGTGGCAAATAAAAATAAGGAATTATTTCAGTTTTTTTTCAGGAAGGACACTGTATTGGTTAATTTCAGCTATCTCCCTTTTCTTAGTCATTGCTTGTTTGCATAACTGGATGAAAATTTGTAGAGGTGGTTAGGACTAAGAGTAAACCACGCATTTATTAAGTAATTTCATTTTCATCTCTAAGATACAATATTCAAAAAGTGTGAACTTTAAACAAATGATTAGTCACGGGTAGGTTGACAGATTTCTCCTTAAATCTTTTAATTATACAAAAAAATTCTAATTTAATTTAAAAAGTTTTTTTGAGAGCAGCCTTTTGCTAATATTTCCCTTCAACACAAACGCAGGAGTGAAATCTGCTTTTAAAAGCACTTCATTTGCAGAGTTATTTTTCTGTTTTTCTTTTATCCCTTTCCTCTCCATCATATATATATATTGCCTAACAATCAATTGATTTGGTCTTAGTTGCAGTAGAAATATAGTAGTGGTCTAAAAGAAGACTGGTTAATCAGATATAACACACCCAGAGGAACACTTTAGAGACAGTAATCTACATAAAACATAGCTGAGCTTATTGGGGATGGAGCTTAGTCACAGAAATATACAGCTCTGACTACACTGTTATATTACACGTGCACAGAGAATTTCAAAAACTCTTAGAGGTATACACTTCCAGGTTCCTTGAAATGGTGTGTGTCTTTTTAGCATACCATTACTGGTTTAGTCAGGAAGAAGTACTTGTCATATTTAGATGCTATTTGGTCTCTTCACACTTCACAAATAATACAGAAGCTTTGAAAAAAAGACACAAAAGCAACAAAAAAAAAAACACCAGCGAACCACTGTACAGTAAAATAAAACAGAGCCAACAAATAAATTTAGCCAGCACATTCTTGAATTGGTTTCAGTACCTTAAATACTGATTCAATTTAAAAGGCTATATATATGAAACCCATATAAATATCCTTACCTAGCACTCTTTTTCTAATGCTAAAAGCTGTGCAACCAATAAGGCTTCTAGGTAATTATTTTTAAGCTAGATTCTACTCTCAGCTAGACTTTTAAATCCCAAATGGAGCTGCTGTCATAAACTTGCAGTCTTTTTCTGAAGACACTATTTTAGCTTTCAAAAAAAAAAAAAACAAAAAACACTATAAATTTATTTGGATGTTGTTGAAAATAAAGATTTAAAGAAATGACATGAATCCTGTCTTAGAGAGAAAAATGAGTGATGTTGTTTTCATAACCTTTCACAAATATAGCTTACAGAGTAACCATTCTTTAAAATTATATACCCCTTTTGACATTTTCAAAATCTACAGGAAGATATAGTGACATCACTAATTGATCTTTTAAAAGGAGAACAAAGCTAATGGATAAAACAAAACAATTCTGATCTTTCCAGTATTAACACATCAGTATTATCAAAAGCCAAACTATATTCCTTTTCCCCTTTTCTAAAATTCTGCTTGACAATTCATTCTGTAACACAAAGAGAATGGCTGTTTTGTTCTGCATTAGCATGGATGCTGAATCATCTACAGAAATAGGGCAAAGGACAGCAATGATATCATTACTGATCAACCATAAAATAAAAATCATGTATATCAACATGGCTTTTTAGTGCTACGATTATATATTTTACACCTGGAAAAATAAATGGAAGTCAGCTGGCACAGATTAACATTAGTTTACCTATTCAACTCTCATACTCTCTTTCTCAATTTAAAAAAAAAAAAAAAAAAAAAAAAAAAAAATCAGAAAACATCATGATATTTAAAAATATTATAAAAGAGAAGAGAAGAGAAGAGAAGAGAAGAGAAGAGAAGAGAAGAGAAGAGAAGAGAAGAGAAGAGAAGAGAAGAGAAGAGAAGAGAAGAGAAGAGAAGAGAAGAGAAGAGAAGAGAAGAGAAGAGAATAGAAGAGAAGAGAAGAGAAGAGAAGAGAAGAGAAGAGAAGAGAAGAGAAGAGAAGAAGTTGTTGCATCAAAACTGCCTAGTGGTAATGCTTCTGTATCCAAGAATTTTTCAGGAGAGGGCAAATTAGCATGGGCTGAAACCCCATTTCTAATAAAACAATTCTGTCATGTTCCCACACTGAGAAGACAGCATGACACTGTCTGGTTTACTAGCACATGTATAACACATAGACTTGAGAATCATATTATCAAACTAGAGAAGGATATTGGTTCAAAATATAATCTAGTGAAGGTATAGATCTAAAGAACCAGGAAGGACAAAACAGTACATGTGAAAGAACAGATGTTTCAAAAAATTAAGTTTTAGTCTTAGTGGTATTCCATCTCAGATTACATAATGTTTGTTTCTACAAAAAATGTTAGAGTAGATAATTCTGTAATTTTGATTTGATGATTTCTCCTATCATTTCAGATGAACTGCTTTATACAGCAACAGACTTACATAATAAATGCATAAAAATCAGGTAAGAAAATGTCCCTTCACATTTCCAAAGACAATGAGTCATTCTGTAATAAGAAAAAGACTCAACAGACAGGCTATTTTTCTGGAGAACTGCATCTACCATGTGACTGAAGGCATAAACCTTCTGGCCTTACACCTTATGAATTACTCAGGTTTGCAGTAATCTACATGAAATTTACGGCCTGTCATGTTTTGTTGCTTAATTAGCAACTTGTCAAAAATCTATGCCATATAAATGCAATTTTAGTTTTTTTTAACTCCTACATCTTCACCTACTTTTTATTGGGATAATGAGCTGAGGAATGACAGGAAGAATCTTGTTTTCACCATGTTCCAGCATGTCATGGATTCCTTGACGAGCAAAAAACTCATATGGAAATGTCATTTCACAAAGTCCGTCAAAAAACAAAGGCAGATAATAATGATAGTCCAGCTTCTCAATTTCTACCTGAAAATATAAAATAAATAGTCAAATACAATTTTACAAAACAAATACAATATTATCAGGTTGACAGATAATTAGTGCCATCTAATAAGTACATTTAGAAAATAATAATTGATTTTATATCACTGAAGAGTATCATTGAGTATCATTAAGTCTCCAGCAAGATATATCACATATACTGAAATACAATCTAGTGAATCATACTGAAATACCAAAAATACTCGATGTAAGGATCAGAAAGAAAATTAGTATGCTCACATATACTTTCTGAACAGCTGCCACTCAACTCAGTTGTTTAGATGAAACTAACATTTCAAGCATCTGAAATAGCATTTGAAAGCTTCCTGATTTTTCAGTACCAGATCCTTACATTTTTGCTTATATACCTTACTCTGTAAGTCACCCAAAGGAATCAATGCTGTTATTTCAAGCATAACATTCGGTTTGCTTCAGAAAAATCTGATCACTATATGCTCATTTGGACATTCAAAAGAACAAATAAGAAAAAGAATCCTGTAACCAAAAACATATCCAGCATTGTACAAGTATCAGTATTTGTATAGAATACCCAACTTCCTAGAATATTGACCTAATTTTATTTGTTACTCATTTCAGGAACAGAATTCTAAGAAAATTTCATTGAAAAATCATAGTGAAACTAAGTACCTATTTCTAATAGGAATCTCCCTCCAATACTAAACTAGAAAGTGAGGGATTTTGCACCTACCTTTTCTTTTCTCTACTCATCATTATCCTGATATTACATACATTTATGATAGCCAGTGAGAAAAAGAATTTGTTTGCTTTCAGTTTATTAGAGCTCTGAATATAGCTAAGAGGCTCTCAACAGCCAAGCATTTCCTCTGAAAAGCTTAAGATCATCAGAACTACTGAGAGACCAATCCATCTCTTTAGGTAACCTCTTCTTTAAAACACTGCCTAACTGCTACACTATTTTTCCAGTGAGATGGTATTTCGGAATTTGGTAAGCACTTCCTCCTTCACATCTAACAAACTTTATCACAGAGTATGCTGAAGCTCAAAACATCCTATGAAAAAATTTCTCAAGTTAAGCAAACCAATACCCATCCCTTGATTTAGGGCCAATAACATTCTCACTTGAATCATGGAAGTCAAGCAAATACCAGACATGCATTGGCCACTGTCATTCATTTTCCACCCAGCCTGACTCTAAGCAGACCTGACCTTGCACATCATAGCTACTGACTAGACCACTTCAGTCTTTCACGTTACAACTGATCTACTTATGATAAATGAAAATTAAAATGGAAAAAGTATTTGAAAGTAAGTCCTTTATATTTGCTGTGAATATCTCACTATTGGCAGATGTAGAGCCAATTACATACTTCAATACCCTCACATATGAGAATGTTGATCTCTAACGAGTCTAAAAAGAATTACTGCATTATAACTACCTACAAACAAACAAAATCAATTTCTAGTTGTGAGCCATACAGAGGAAGGAAAAAATAAAATCCACATTTCCTAGCAGTGTATCTATAACATTGTATATGATTGCCTTTTTTTTTTTTTTTTTTTTAATTTCAAAGCAACCAAAAAAATAAAATTCAGAAGATATTTACATTATCTGTATTTATAGTTTTTGACACTCAGCATGTTATGGATCAGGCTTGTGAGCTAGTAAAATAGCTACTGCAGACTTCTGTTTACAAGCCTAATTCAGAAGCCAAATTCGTAACTACACAGACAAGTTTTCATCAAGTGAGAAATGTCCAGCTAGTCAAAAAAATATTGATGAAAAAGGAAGAGCAAGAAGAAGACATTTTTTCTTGTCCTCTGTCCTTCAGTGTTTTTCTTTCTAACTTCTAATTTGTAGTTTACACAGTTATTTGATTACAATCTCATTACTGGAAGTTCAGCTTTCAGAAAATTTAGAACAAAATCTACAAGTACTTGTACCTGGGCAAAGCTTTAGATGTGAAAGTGAGATATATGTATTTTTTAAAGTTGTGGGTTTTTTTTTTTTTTTTTTTTTTTTTCCCCAAAAGAAAACCACCTTTGTCAGAATATAACCCCATTTCATTTGTTTTCTTTTTTAAAATGCATTCCTTACATGGACTTTAGACAACTCTTTCAAAATTACAATTTCCAGGGAAGTACACAACTTTGTCAGGTATAAGGATCTGCAACTATTCTGATCAAAACATATAAAATAGAATCCTTCTTATTTTTTCTCCTTCTCTCTCTTAACATCTCATCTTCTCTGCATGTACCAGCAATCTTTTTTTCTCAAAGATTTTCTGATAGTCTGAGCAACTTCACTCAGCTATTCTTTGCCCTTAAAATCTGACTTTTATGATCCAGACATGAAGAAAGCTTATGCGTTCAAAAGCTTCTTCAATTTGTCTTCCCAGTGATAATATCTACTCATTAAACAATGTAACCTTAGCACTGACTTACAGTACATTACATAAACATAAAAGTGATACATTAACTTTGAGGACAATACGATTTCTGGTTAAAAAAAAATATTTTTTTCCATTATACAAAACTTGCTGTTGAAACAATATCTCCACAATATACTGGTATTACAAGCACTAGATAACAAAGCACTTGTGGGTACTCTTCTCAATTAGTTTCCAAAGCCATCAGTGGACAGCTTTGGATCAGTGGTATGTCTCTGAAAAGAACTCTGATTTCTATCTCAATTCTTGAAGTGTAAGCTGTCCAAGCATACAGCATATTTTTACTTGCGTTTTGTGCTCTATAATAACTCCCACAATATGGATCCCGGAAATATTTTGTCTTACATTCCATGGTGCGAAACCCTTTTCTTCTGTGTTTACTGTTTAGCCTTTAAAAGTGGCTATTATACAACTGTTCAGAGAAAAATGCGATTTTTCTGCTTACGCCCACAAATCCTGTTGTTCAAATCCATACACAAAAAGTGCTGATGAAAGACTAAATTCTTGGCAAAACTTGTTCACATCTAACAATAATGCTGCAAATATGAACTCAAAATAATTATTAATGAACTTTCATGTAGCGGTAAGTTGAACCAAGAGCCTGAATTTTCAGTAATCAGGTCAAATAAAAAAATCCATAAGTTACTATAAAATATGATCAGACAAAGAAGACCACTGTGTAAGCATCAGTAAAATCTTCTGTTTCGTGGCATTTCTGAGCTACCTATGTCAGAAATAAAATAAACAATATACAGTTTATACTTCTTTTATCAATGTGTATAATTCACCAAAGCACAAGATGGAAGGAAAGTATCACTATGGAAAGGCAGTATCACTTTTACAGAATTATTTTTTTCTGCAAGAAAGCCATTCCTATGAAGTAGCCAAAAATGAGAGGCAAGTCTGCTGGGATAACGAGAAGCCCAAGTTTAGTCTGTAAATAGTAAAAAACAAACAAACAAACAAACAAGTTCCCTGGCTAATCTGTCTGATAAATGGAGAAAGCAAGATAGCTGAGAAAACTTAAGGTATAGAAGTTTGACAACTAGCATATTACTGACCTTCCTTAAACAAACAAATTTAAAGCAATCTGAGTTTTAGGAGATAGCATTTAACATATAGAAACAATATATTTTCCATCTTACTATTATCCACATGATATTATATGTTTTCGATACAATTATCCAAAAACTGAATTTGATCTCCCAAAAACACTGTATCAGACTGCTTATAAATTCCTTTAATTCCTTTATCTAAAACATTAAGTATATAAGAAGAAACTGCAATTTTTTGTTTGATAAGGAGAAAAAGGAACTTTTGTAAGCATAGTAAAGATTTTATATGGATTCTCTGATAAAATAATTGTTTCCTTTAAGATTTTTTTTCCATTCCATACCACCTTCAGTTGAAAAATTCTAACTATTTCATCTCCATTTCCTAGCTTGGTAGAAAGAGAAAAGCAGAAATATTCTTGAATATTCTGTTTTGAAGTTCTTTCTGATTTTAGGAAAAAAAGCTTTCCTTCCACTTTAGTTCAAAGTTCTTTTTTTTGTCTTCAAACATTCTCTACCTGTAATCAAGACGAAGCTTGTGTATTTCACAGTTTGTGGTTTATTCCCTTTAGTATATTTGTTCCCTTTAGTATATCTGCTCTTTTAGTATATTTGTCATACATGGGTTAACATTTGTCATGTTAATCCATAATTAGTCTGAAGTCTGTAGTCTTCTCTATAGAACATCAAACGTTCATTAATATTTTCTAGACCTGATTAGACGGTGTTTTTAGTATGGTAACTTTACTTATGGTGCTTATATTTCAAAACTCAATCCTAGTGTTGCATTTAGTCCTTAAAGCATTACCAATAAAAAGATTCAGTTTGCTGAATTTCACCTTTCAGTATACACTGCATAGGATCGTAATATAAAAATTCTCTCTTGAAAGAACTTTAGCATAAATTATTACCTATATTCTACCTATAAAAATGAGAGACCTACAGTTTACATTCTCCAATACAATAAGGTATGTATCTTGGATGGAGATCGGTGTCCTCCAGGGCTTGGTGTTGGGAACGATACTCTTTAGTAACAGAGTTGGAACACCTCTCCTGCAAGGACAGGCTGAAAGCTGGGGCTCTTTAGCCCGAGGAGAGGAGGCTATGAGGGGACCTGATAGCAGCTTTTCGTTACTTAACAGGGCTGGATACCTGAGCTAAGGACAATAGGATGAAGTCCACCAAGACCAAGTGTCAGGTCCTGCACTGTAGGCTTGGGGCAGAGTAGCTGGAAGACTGCATGGAAGAAATGGACCTAAGGTGTTTGTCGATGCTAGGCTGAACGCCAGCAGTGCGCCGTTGTACTGAGTTCTAGTGAGGGACACAAAGAATAATGCATTCAGTTTTGGGGCCCACACTACAAAAAAGATATTGAGGCGCTGGAGCATGTCCATAGAAGGGCAACAAAGCTGGTGAAGCATTTGGAACACAATTCTGATGAGGAGCAGCTGAGGGAACCAGGATTAGTAAGTTAGGAAAGTATATGGTTTAGTGAAGAAATATT